CCAACAATGGGGAAGGAAACCAGAAAACAAACAGAAGGGACAGGTGTTTGGTTTAGGAACCACCTTCACTCTGGCCGGCCGCATTCCATTGTTAAACCTATCTGCTGGTACTCCATTTTTAAACGAGTCTGACTCCATCCATCTACCCAGCCTTACTCCCCGACAGCTTCTGACAAACTTGCTCTGAAATATGGACACACATATCTGGGTCCAGTGCAGTTTAACTCAGGAAGCAGTGCCCGCCCTATTGCCCAAGCGAGTAGGCAAGCGGCAGGGTCTTGGGGGTGAGAATCACGAGCCCTGCCTTGCCTCTCTTCTTACCAGTGCTGGAAATGCCATTGACAAGGAACAATCTATACGACGAGATGAGATCTCAAAAGCAAATGCGTCTGGGCACAGTGGCTCACAGCTGTAATCCCAGCACTTTGGGAGGCCAAGGCGGGCAGATCACATGAGGTCAGGAGTTTGAGACTAACCTGGCCAATACAGCAAAACCCCATCTCTACTAAAAACACAAAAATTAGCCAGGCATGGTGGCAGGTGCCTGTAATCCCAGCTACTCAGGAGGCTGAGGCAGGAGAATTGCTTGAACCCAGGAGGTGGAGGTTGCAATGAGCCAAGATCATACCATTACACTCCAGCCTGGGCGACAAGAGCAAAACTCCGTCTCAAAAAAAAAATAAAAATAAAAAAGCAAATGCACCTGGGAGAACTAAATGTTGACTTAAATTCATGCTAAGGTGTAAATGACTGCTAGCAGGTGCTTTCCTGAGCGCTGATTGATGATAAAGGAGGAGGAGAAGGCACACCCAGAGTTGATGCAGTCAACATGCTTTCGTGGACAGAGCACTGGGCTGAGTCTGGGGCTGGGAGATCTAGTCCCCACTCTGCCTATCATTTATCTGATGATTTTTAGGAATGTTATTCTACCTTTTTGAGCCTCCATTTACAAGTCTATAGCAGGGTACAATTCAACCAGGTAATCTCTAAGGTCTTTTCAGATCTGGCAAATTGTGATTCAGCTGTAGCCTCTAGCCTACCTCCGTTTGTCTTCTTAACCTCACACTGTGCAGGTAACATTATCATACATATGCCGAAAACTCCTGTTGTTCAGACCAAACAATGCCGCCCGAGCAGATTTAGAAACCAAGGTCATCAAAACCCTGACAGAGAGGAACAGAAGACTGAAGCTCAATATACTCAACGATCCTTTGGAATCACGGGGGTGGAGCTCCGTTAGACATGACATAAGACCCTGTGGTCACACATATGAAATTACAATCATCCCTCAGACTTGTGGAGTGAGTTACTATGAGCCATCCCCTTTCCTATCCCTTTTCTAAGTTGATCTTCTCTAAAACAGTGGGAAGCAGACAGGGCAAGATGTTTCACCCCCATTTCACAGATTGAGAAACTGAGTCTCAGACAGAGGAATCATAGCAAGTGAGTGGCAGCCAAGCCTCCAATTCAGATCAAGTGAGGAGTCCTCATGTCCCACGTGCCCACCACCCACTCCCACTTCCTTTCTCATTTTCCACCTCTGTTTCGAGATACAAAAGTGAGGGAGAAAAAAGGCAGAGGGAGGCAGCCCTGCCAGAAAATCTGGGTGAACGGAGAAGTCCACGGAGGCTCAGTCGCTCCTGTCAGCTCTCTCCTCTCCCCCTCCCTTCTCGCTGCCTGGAGCCAGAAACCTCAGACCACCACCTTCCTACTGCAGCCTCCCCGCCTGGGACAGCGCCTTGTCCCTGTACCCCATGAGGCCAGCTTGCTGCAGCAAGCCTCGTGGTGATTAACTCTCCTTTGCCCCTTCCCCTTCAGCTCTGCCCCACCAAAGCCAGGCCTACCCTGGGATCATTATGAAGCAGGTGACCTCCACTCATGACTAATTGTGCAAGTAGGGCAGAGGTAAGAACAATCCCAGGAAAGAGGGTGGAGGCGGGGAAAGAGAGAGAAAAATAAAAGAGAGAGACAGACAGACAGAGAGAGAGAGTGCTGCTTTAATAAGAGGGTAATTGCCCTGTTTAGGATTACAATCTGCCAGTATTTCACTAAACTTTATGACACATGATGACAAGTTAATAAGCCGGATGCCTCACTGTGTGCCTTAAGCAGATGCTCCATGGGTTACCTCCCATGCCTCCTCATGCAGGGAGGTAACCCCCACAGCCAGAAAAATACACAGGGCCAGCCAAAAGAAAAAAAAATCCCCAGGAAGGTGTGGGAGAAGAGAGCCGCTAAGGTGGGGAAACTGGTTATTTCTGTTGTCAAAATGGCCCCAGCAATAAATCACCATTAATAATACTGTCATCTATCAAAGAGGAGCTCTGATTGCCAAGGCCTTTGAAGTGGCAGCACCTATAATTTCCCACCTATAAAAGGTACCTTTGTGCATATGTCACGCTGGAAGATGACAAGAGCAAGACACCAAGGAGTTCACACCGTCTCCACGCCCATCCCAATGGCGAACCCTTGGAGTGCCAAGTTGTGCCCACTCCCTCCCTCACGCAGGATGGCCCGGGGCCTGCCTGACTTCATTCACTCGCTTGAAGGCAGAGAGGCTGGGTGAAAGGAGGGGTGGGGACTGCCAGGAGTGGCTGCGTGTCCAGACAGATCGGGAGCTCCCAGCCTCTCTCACCAGCTAGCCGCGCTGTGATGGGGAGGGACACCTTCCATCCTCCCCTCAGCTCCAACCCCCAAGAGCAAAGGCCTGAGGGAGCCTGAGGTCTAAGACAGTGTCTGTCAAAAAGGGAGCCCTGCCGGGCATGGTGGCTCATGCCTGTAATCCTAGCACTTTGGGAAGTCGAGGCAGGTGGATCACCTGAGGTCAGGAGTTCAAGACCACCCTGGCCAGCATGGTGAAACCCCGTCTCTACTAAAAATACAATAATTAGCTGGACATGGTGGCGGGTGCCTATAATCACAGCTACTCAGGAGGCTGAGGCAGGAGAATCACTTGAACTTGGGAGGTGGAAGTTGCCGTGAGCTGAGATCACGCCACTGCACTCCAGCCTGGGTGACAAGAGTGAAACTCCATCTCAAAATAAAAAAGGGAGCCCTGACACAGCATCACCAGGGAGTCTCCCCAGGTGCCCCTGCTAGGGATCGGGAAATTACGGGGGGCATGGGACATGAGGACACTTCACTTGACCTGAGTTGGAAGCTCGACTACCACTCACTTGCAGTGATTCCTCCTTCTGAGACTCAGTTTCTCAATCTGGAAAATGGGGGTGAAAATTCTTGCCCTGTCTACTTCACACAGTTACACAGAGGAGCAAATTAGATAAGGGATGGGAATGGGGAAATGAGATGGTCATAGAATCTGTATCTTGATCCAGCTCCCCAGGAAGTGAGTTTCACAGACACAAAGGTTTAAGAAGCGCTGGCCTGCAGTCCTTTCCGCTCTGCCGAACCAGGAGTATGAGTGCTGTAGAAAGGTGGCTAGGGCTGCCTGGCCAGAAATTGATCACCTCAGGGTTCTGGAGGCTGGAAGGCCAAGACCAAGGTGTCGGCAGGATTCGTTCCTTCACACGCCCCCTCTGTGGCTTGCAGGTGGCTGTCTTCTCCCCGCTTCTTCACAGGGGCTCCCCTCTGCACTTGTCTGTGTCCACGTTGCCCCTTACCCAACAAGGACACCATTCCTATTGGACTAGGGCCCACACTAGTGACCTCATTTTAACCTAATTACCTCTTTAGAGACCCTGTCTCCAAATACAGTCACAGTCTAAGGTACTGGGGTTAGGACTTCAACATATACATTTTGAGGGGGACAGAATTCAGCCCCTAACAGGCCTTAAAGCTCATCCCAGGATGAGCCCTGACCAGACAAAACAAAACAAAAAAAAGGCCCTAAAAGCCACTTAAGCTACTGGCAACATCTGAAACTCTCATTTCCTGATCCTGGGATATATCTTCTTCTGAATTAACTGAGCCCAGACCTCTGTTCCCCCACTGTACCTCATGGGTGATTTGTCTTTAGATTTAAAATAGCCAGATGCAGTGGCTTACGCCTGTAATCCCAGGACTTTGGGAGGCCGAGGCAGGCGGATTGCAAGGTCAGGAGTTCAAGACCATCCTGGCTAACATGGTGAAACCCTGTCTCTACTAAAAATACAAAAAATTAGCCGGGCATGGTGGCACATGCCTGTAGTCCCAGCTAACTCAGGAGGCTAAGGCAGAAGAATTGCTTGAACCCGAGAGGCAGAGGTTACAGGGATACAGGGAGCTGAGATCGTGCCACTGCACTTCAGCCTGGGCAACCTAGTGAGACTCCATCTCAAAAAAAAAAAAATAGATTTAAAATAGAGGTGCTGGGCTCAGTGGTTCATGCCTATAATCCCAGCACTGTCGGGGGGTCGGCTGAAGCAGGAGGATTGCTTGAGGTCAGGAGTTTAAGACCAGCCTGAGCAACATAGTGAGACCCCACCTCCACAAAAAAAAAAAAAATTTCATTAGCGAGTGTGGTGGCATGCATCTACAAAAATAAAGAAGTAGAAGAAAATAGGCCCACATCCCATCGAAGAGGAGGTTCCACCTTGGTCCTGCCTCCCAGTGAGGTCATTTTGAATGTCACTTAGACTGAGAATCCCAAGATGTCTCTAAAAGTGAACATGTATTGAGCATAAAGTGTACTCTGTCCCTAGCACTGTTCTGAGAACTGATATCATTTCATCTGTACAACTACCTATGAGGCAGGAACAAATAAGGAACAGGTTGGGTAATTTGCTCAAGGTCAACAGTTAGCAAGGGCCAAGCCTGGCCTGGAACCCACGTCTTTGTGACTCTAGAGCCCACGACTTCACCCCCGATGCTTTTCTGCCTCCTCTCTACAGGTGGAGATACCAAGCTAGGAAAGTTTGAGCGGCCCCTGCTGCCTGTGATCACCTACTAGGTGAGTTTAGGAGCTGCTGGGAGTTTAGGACTAGACTTTATCATTTTATGGAGGATTTAAAGCTACTTTTATCTGTGGGGTATTGTTCCAAAACCAAGGTCATATATTTTTATGTGTTTTATGTAAGTGCATGTGTAGTTTATAGATAGCAAGGTTTGCATGCATTTGTTCTATGAATCAGCTGAGGCTGGACTTCCTGGGAATCACACAGGAAGATTTCAGGGTGTCTTTCTGCTGATGGCTCTCTCTTCCACAGCCAGTCCCTTCCCTTCCCTGGGCTTCAATTTCCACGTTAGTAAATGAAAGTGTTAAGCTATTTCTACAATCCCTTCCTTCATGGGCATTATTGATTCCTAGGAAGCCCTAATGAAGAGAAAGGATGGTAAGAGTTTGCCTAAACGTCTCTGCACCCCATGCCTGAAAACTCAAAGCTCAGCCCCGAAGCTTCTATGAATCCTGGGACAAAGAAAAGGACTTCAAGGCCTCATACCTATCAACAAGAGAGATTTCTGCTGCTCCAGCCCCTCCACCCCTTCACCTTTGCGCTGAGGAACCCCCCCATCACCAGGAGGAAAGAAGCCTACCCGCAAGGGGGCACTCCCGCAGCCCACCAACTCCTGCACCCAGCTGCCCCTGAAATCCTCAGACTCATTTGTCCAGCAGCCTTGACTTTGTCAGGGGTACCAGTCACGTCATCCCTGAGGTGTCTACAAAACCCCGCAGTCATGGGCTCCGTGCACACTCAAGAACAGTAAGAAGCTTCAAAAGCTAAGGAGCCCTTTCCCGATGCTTCCATGGTGTCTCAATGATTCCTGAGGTCTTGATACTCTGCCATGGATTGGCAGTTTGGAAATGGTTTCCTGGTCTGGCTGTCCTAAGGATCCCTGGTTATGTGACTGGGAACAAACTCTTCAACCTTCCAGGCACAGTTTTCTTCTGAAAAATGAGAGGGTTGGGTGCAAGGTTCCTGAGGCCCTGGGGCCTTGTGGCTGAGTTTATCTACCCTCCCCCTGTCCATCCACCTATGGAAGTACTCATAAAGCATTTCACAGCCACAAGGAAAAGGCAAACAAGGTCCCTCAGCCCCCACACACAGAGGAGCTGCACCTGCACCCCTCCCTCAAGGCTGGGCTTCCTCTCCCCAGCACACACAAGCTCTTCTTGGCCTCCCAGCTCTTTTCAGCAGCTCCCCGGAATGGAACGGCCCAGCCATGGCTTCTCAGAGGACAGCTTCTTGGCAGAGCTGGGAGTGGGTGGAGTAGAGCACATTTTTTCCTTTGAGGTCCAAAGGGCTGTCAACCCTCTTCAGCTGCCCTGGGGCCCGACAGCCACAGAGAGAGATTTACGACCTGGATAGCTTTGATCCCAGCCTCTGATAAACATCAGGAACAGCTCGACCCTAAACCCCTGAGGAGAAGGTTTATGGATCAGAATGCAGCCTCCTGGAGAAAACAGCCCAGGAGGGGGTGCCCAGGGACTGATTAGGCCCTTAAAGTTCTCTCATCAAGCAGAGTCACTGCCATCCGCCCTTGCCCTCCGGAGAAAGGGACACAGCTGGGTGACTGAGGCCTTTGAACAAGAAGCAAAGCTGATCAGAGAGAGGTGAAGATCCTGTCAAAGGTTAAACTAGGGAAGGAGTGGAGGCGGTGGGCCCAGGCCTCTGAAATTCCCCACCCCCTCTCACCTGTTCTTCCAAACAGCGTTGCCCATGTTTCTCTAAACCACAGACCGAGACAGAGAGAGCGCGCCAGATAAGATCTGAATGAGAAAGGAATGTTTCACCCATGGGTTTTGTTGTCCCTGTTCTTGTTGTTGATACTGTTGTTCTTGGTGATGATAGGGGTGGTTAATCGCTTGATTATATTTCATCTCTGGTCTTCTTTCCGAAAGCACAGGCGGCCAGGAGAGTCTCTGTGTGGTCACAAACCCTTCATGGCTTTTTTCCCGTCCCTTCCACTTGACCATGTGGGATGGCAGGGAATCCACGCACCCTCATGGAACATCCCCTGTCTTGTTGATTGAAAAGAGATCCTAGAAACAGTGCTACATCCAAGGCGAAGGAGGGGCCAGCCAGTCTCCTCTGGATGCCACCTCAGATGGGTGGCCTCAAGCTTAAGGTCTCAGTCACCTCCATAAAACTGTTCCCCTCTGTGAAGCAACTTCTGCTGTGGGGAGTTGGAGAAGGACCTTCTCAAAGCAAGTCCGACAGGCAGGGTTTTCACTCTCCGGGGTCCGGAGTGTTCTACAGACACTGGGAGACATACATCCATCTAAAGAGACACCCTAATAAACCTGCAGCTATTCATTGCACCCAACAAACCAGCCTGTGGCCCACGCATGCAGGAATAAACACATATTTGCTGAGCACCAAATTGAGTCTAATGACCCTGGCCTGTCTCACAGGGTCATCCTGAGAAATAGCTGACGTCGGACGATGAGTGTGAGCAGCTGTTCTCCATTTGCACTCAACAAGAGAAAAGGGCCTTAAATTTCAGTGGGAGGGATTAAGGTTAAACATTAAGAAGAGCTTCCTGGCTAGGAGGGTTGTGAAACACTGTAATGTGTTACCAAGGATGCTGTGGACATTCCTCTCGATGAGACTTTAAAGAGGAAGGAGGTTGGTGATCTGTCCAGGAGATTTTTTTAGGAACTTTATTAGGTCATCTGGTCCATCCGCCTGAAGGCAAGGGCTTGGACTAAACAGCCACCAAGCGAGGACTGTTTGGGCACAGGAGGGCCTCTACAGTTCCTCACAATCAAATATGCTGAGAAACTCCCTGGGCCCTAGACAGTGAAAAGAGAAACCAGAGTCATCAGCAAGGCCACCCTTTGGGGCCTGATTTCAAGCTTTAGCTAGTGTTAGTCACCCATAGCAACAAGAGGGAGAAATGTGATTTTCAAACCCTCCAGAGACCAAGACAGTTATTTACCAACCAGCACCAAGTGAAGCTTCCACACCCACAGAGACAGGACCATTTCCTGAAAGTCAGGTCGGCCCCTGGCATTCCAAGGGCAAGCAGGTCACCAGTTCTGACGTGTGGGAGCAAAAGGCAAACAATAAGATCACACATCTGGCTGGGCACAGTGGCTCACATCTGTAACTCCAGCACTTAGGGAGGCCAAGGCAGGATCGCTTGAGGCCAGGACTTCAAAACCAGTTTAGGCAATATAGTGAGACCCCTAATCAACTAAAAAAAATAAATAAATAAACTTAGCCTGGCACAGTGGCGTGCACCTGTAGTCCCAGCTACTCGGGAGGCTGCGGCAGGAGGATCGCTTGAGCCCAGGTGTTTGAGGCTGCAGGGAGCTGGAATCGTGCCACTGCACTCCAACCTGGACAACAGAGAGAGAGACCCTGTCACAAAAAAACAAAAAAAAAAAAACACGTCTTATTGCCAGTGGAACAATCCACCCATTTCACAGATTGGGAGACTGGGGCCTAGATATGGGCAATGTCTTCACACAGTATACTTTGTATCAGAGTTAGGACTGGAAAACCCTGGTTAGGAGCCTGACTTTATCACTCACTACCTGTGTGACCTCAAGCAAGTCATTTAACCACCTGGGGCCCTCAGTAGCCTCCTCTACAAAGTAAGCAGGTTATAATCAGGAAACCAAATACATGGAGCACTGCCATCAACTCCAGAGCACTATAGAGGGAAAGCGACTGCCCGTGTTCCCATCACTCTCACTTCTAGTCCTTTCTGTTCATCTAAGCTGCTGTAAATGTAGTCCTCTAACTTGGAGGGGATCCTTCTAAGTTCTCAGATCAACAGAGAAGTAAAATATTTGATCTTTAAAACCATAGACGCTGTCTCATTGGTCTTAGTCATCATCCCATCCAAGCCACTTGTTTTGCAGATGAGATAGGAGAGTATCCACACACCCTCAGAGAATGACAGCAGAGAACGTCCTGGGCAGAGGTCGGGGTGGGGAGGAAACGCCAAGGATAAGCTTGGCTGACCTCTCAGTGCGGCTCCCTGGCCCTGGGTATAATTTTCAACTCATTAACTTGAAATCCTGGGTATGCTAAGTCATTCTTTGGTCTCTATTTCCTTAGTAGCCTCTGTTTCCACAGCCCCCAAGTTGCCTGGTTCTGGGGTTAGCACCCAGGGGTGGGGGGATCTCACAAAGTCATTCTTGACTAACTTGGTGAACCCCAGGAATCTTCCAGTCTCTCACCATCTTCAGCCCTCCCCATGCACTCACCTCCCGCCCCGTCCCACCCCTGTCTCTATAAGGTCAGTTCCCACCCAAGGCAAGAGCAACTCAACAAAATACAAGGACATTTGGTGAGCAACTATTGTTTGCAAGGCTCTATGTAAGCAGATATTATCTGATTTGACACCCCCCTCCCCCCCCAACCATCATGCAAGATAGTTATCATCGCCCACCTTTTACAGATAAGCAAGCCATGAATCAGAGGTTAACCGACATGACCTAGTGACACAAGCAGCAAAAGTGGCAGATTTGGGGGTTAAATTCTAGTCTCTGAGGCCCCAACGTTTGAGGGGGCAGCTGCTCCTAATCCAGACCTGGGAATCCATCACCCTTCCTGAATGTTTCTGACATTGTCTGCCAGTTCTGATGTTGCAGCCCTCACCTTTACCCCGCTAGGCCTGAGTCCCCTTCTCGGTGAAATCCAATGTCCCCTGGGATCAACAGAGTCCCCTCCCTATTCCCTAATTCCTGGAGTTCCACGGTGAATAACAGACATGCTGTGGGGTGACTTGCTGACCAGGACTTTCAAGCATCCAGATTCTATCACTGTGAGAGCCCGCTGCCTATCCGGAGGGTGCGTCCCCTCACTCCATTGCCTGGATGACACCACACCTTTGGGCCATGATATACCTACAGAAAGGGACTCCTCGCAGGACCTGCCATCCTAGGGCACATCACCTGCCTGTTGTTGCACTTGGCCAGATTCCCCTTAGTCAAGCCCAGACTAAGGCACAGCAAGCAGGCCTGCTGGAGACACCTCCAGATAAGGCCACGGGGACACGCACAGCAGTCAAGAGAACAGGGCCAGGCACGGTGGCTGATGCCTGTAATCCCAGCTCTTTGGGAGACCAAGGCGGGCGAATCACCTGAGGTCAGGAGGTCAAGACCAGTGTGGCCAACATGGTGAAACCCTGTCTCTACCAAAAATACAAAAAATTAGCCAGGCATGGTGGTGCACACCTGTAATCCCAGCTACTCGGGAGGCTGAGACAGGAGAATCGCTTGAACCCAGGAGGCAGAGGTTGCAGTGAGCTGAGATCTCGCCACTGCACTCCAGCCTGGGTGACTGAGCAAGAATCCATCTCAAAAAAAAAAAGGAGAACAGACTCGGGTCAGACTGACTAGCTGGGAGCTCTTGGACAAGTTGTTCCCTATCTACGCCTTAGTTTTCCCATCTATGAAATGGAAATATGAGTACCTACCTCACAGAGTTCTGATAAGAATTACATGAGCTAATGTTTGTGAGCAATTAGACCAGAGCCTGGCACCTGGTTAATACAACCTACTTAAACAAAAGTAAAGGCCTATACTCTGAAGTTTGAAAACCACAGACCGGGAATCCAGTCACAGACTCGGGGAATCGTAAGGTTGAAGGGAAACTACCTTTCTCCTAGTGCGATCGTCGCTGCTCCCACAGCACCCACAGGTGAGCACGCAGCCTCTGGAATACCTGTAAGGATGGGGAGTTCACTACCTTACAGGCAGAGTAGCTCAATGTTAAACAATTTTAATACTTTTGTTTACCTTGAACAAAAAGCGGCCTGCCTGTGCTCTGAGTCCCAGAGCCTACTCCCTTTCCCGTGACAGCTCAGCCCCGCATTCCCTCCTCATCCTGCTCTGGGCACCCTCAGCTGTGCTCCGTGATTAGCAGGCGGTTTCCATGCTGGCGGGTCATGCAAACCAACCCAGCGCATTTTTCCCCGCTCCCCACACCTTCTCTCTCCTGAGCCCCCAGGCCAGCATACCAGCACGCACACCCGTGTTGACAGCTCCCAGGGCAGCTCAGCCAGGCAAGGCGTGGTCCAGAGCCAAGTGGATGGTGCCTGGGGACAAAGCAGAGCGTGTGGGCTCTGAGAAAAGCCTCCAAACACATGGCCCAAGACAGAGAAGGGGAGGTTTGTTCCAGAATCTGCCTTAACACCACAAAACGGACAGGTGAGGGGGATCTGAGAGGCACCAAGAAGTCTCTTGCCCCTTTGAAGGGCTTGAGCATCTGGGCTGAGCAGTGCCATCTTCTTCCATTCTTTTGATCAATGTGAAAACGGATGGGAAGGATAATGCCAATGCTTGGGCGCAAGTGAAACTGATATTTTTTTGGGGGGGGAGCGGTCAGTGACAGGACGGGTGCCCAGAGTGAAAAGAGATTTTGGCAAACGGAAGAAAGGGCACCACAGGTAAAGACTCAAATAAACTCCCTCCCCCTCTCGGCTTGCCTGGAGGGACTGGAAAGGAAAAGATGGATAATACTGCCCTTAGCCATTGACAGAAATGAACAACAGTGAGATACATAACACAGACTCCATTTACAGATAAGGAAATCAGAACTCAGAGAAGTGACGCAGCATGCCCAAAGACACACAGCTTACAACAGGCAGGGCAGAAATCAAACTCAGGGCCACCTTAGTGCTAAGTCCTTTCCACTGTGTGACTAGGTCACACTGCCTCTTCGGTGCTATCGGTGCTGACAGCCTCATGTATACATACACCATTCATGTAAAATACACACAGACACACACACTCACATACACATATATACAAATGCACACACACTCACACACACAAATACACATGCATGCACCCGCATACATGCACACACGCATGCACACACGCACACATTCACACACATGCACACACGTACACACCCACACACATGCACACACATTCACACACGTACACACCCACACACATGCACATATGCATGCACACACGTAGGCATCCACACACTTGCACATGCACACACTCATATACACACACCAGTAGGCTCACATTGCCTAACCAGGACCTAGAGACCCGACGCCAAGGCTAGGACTCTGAACTCTGAAACCAGATCACCTGGTTCAAGCCTTGGCCCAGTCTCTGACTAGCTTGGTTATGTCTCTGAGCTTCAGTTTCCTGTCTGTAAACTCAGGATAATAACACCTACCTCACTGGGTTTGAGGAATGATGAAATGGGTTACTATTTGTAATGCATTTAGAACAGTGAGCAAGCATGTGTCACACACACAGGAGCGTGACAGAGAGAGCCCAAATAGGGCACAGGAAGCCAGTCTGGGGGTCATCCAGGTCCCCATCTCAAAATACGAGGGTCCAGATGAAGCCCGCACAGCTTTTCCAAGCCAAACATCCTGTAAAGGGGAAACAGCCCGGCTGCAGCTTTGAGCGACGCTCTCCCAAACAAACAGCAAACGCTCCCAGGCTCTCAGAGGTGGCCCTCGGGGCTCACCGGGGACACAGGGGCTTCATCCCAGCTGCTTTCAGAAGGTTGA